TTTTATAATAATGATAAAAAATTTTTTAATCAATATATAAATAATTTTTATTTAAAAAATAAGAAATTAAAACTATTCTTTATCATTATTACATAAGAAATTAAAACTATTTTTATATAAAGTATTTTTATATAAAGTATTCATAAAATTATTCATCTACTGAAAACATTTTAATCCATTTTTTATATATAGTTTATATATAGTCGATGATATTCACTCCAAAATAAACTCATTTTAAAAACTCAGGAGCAACACTTCTTTTTATCAAAGGATCCCCTAATTTCATCCCCTAAAAGTGCGTATGGGTGTGTATAAAAAAATGTATCCCCTGACTGATTCTAATCGAATGAATGCGTCACTCACATTGGTTGCAAAGCCAAATAAATTAGATTAATGAGCAAAAAATCATAAAAAAAGATTGACAAATAAGGATGCTTTCCAATTACTTGATACATCTTGATCCAAACGTAGCAAATTAATTCACTTATTTTCAGTATTAATAAATAATTTAACCCTTTTAATTACATATTCTTTGTTGTCACAATTAATCTCATAACTTTGAAAGAATTAAATTATTTATTAACACTGAATTTGTGAAAACCGATTTGCACTCAATTGCACTAATTGCCGTAATCGTCGACACAACGGTATACATCCGACTAATACCCTCGAGCTGAGTACGGATGTGTAATGTTGTATCGACGATATTACGGTAATTAGTGCAATTAAGTGCAAATCAGTTTTCATATTTTCAATGTTACTAAATAATTTAATTCTTTCAAAGTTATAAAGTTATCGTGATAACAAAAAATATGTAAATTAAAAGAGTTAAATTATTTGATAATATTGTTGAGGCTTCCACAGCTTTTTATATAAAGATTATGATATTTTATATAAAGATATTTCGCGGATTTTCTCCGCATCCAGATCCATTCTTGGAACGTTTCGTGAACTTTGCAGTCCATTTCAGAGCGAGAAACAGTCTGATACTGAGCTGTTCCTCCAGGCCGTTCTTTTTAGTTAAATTATTTATTAACACTAAAAATATATGAATTAATTTACTACGTTTGTATCAAGATGTGTCAAACAATTTGAAAGCATCCTAAATAAGAAAAAGACAAACGTAAATGAATAATTATACTTAATTGTGAATAAAAGATTATAAAAGGAAATAGAAAAAAAACAAAGTCAAAAGACAATCAATGATTTAAAAGTATTAAAACGAAAACTGCTAAAATCCAAGTTATAGTTTTTTTTTTAAATCCTCCAAAAGTACGGGATAAAAAATTGAATGCAATTGCATCAATACCGAGATATTCCAAACAAAGTTGCGATTTCTTCTCTTTTTTCCCCAGTCACGAATTTAATTTAACATACGCGCGGTGATTTTATTTAATGGGTAATGAAATGGATGTCTCTCTCTCCGCACTTATGCAGGTCTATGTCGAAGTGCTGGATGAGAATGATAACACGCCGCTGACCGAGCTGCCAGTTTATTATCCATCCGTGGCCGAGAACTCGCCTGCCAGCGTGAGTGTCCTGCAAATCCGCGCCTTTGATCACGACGTCTCGCCCCAGCAATTCGTCTTCACCATCAGCAGCGGCAATCCGGAGGGATATTTTCTCATCAACTCCACCACCGGTAAGTCCCAAGCGTACAGCTCGCGTATCGCATTGACGGCAAAATGATACCGGTCTCGCGGCAGGATCAGAATGACGGCGTCGTCTTTAGCCACACCCGGTAGCCGGTAATAAGTTCAATCTTGCTGGACGAGAGTTTTAATAGATACGTTACGTGGAATTATTAAAGGGAGATTGGCCGCTTCTATGAAAAGAGTTTCATTCGAATTCTCATTCGTTATCAGTTAAATCGAAAGATGAATATTGACTCGATTCTATACTCTCGAAAAGTGAATCAGTGTATTATTGAAAAACGATAAATATTCACTGATGAATTACAACAATAAGTGTAACACTAGAATTACTGATTTATCTTTAGAAAGTATATATACTGTCGATGATTCCGTATCGTAGACACGTAGAGAAAATATAGTTTTTCTGACAGATAAACGCGCACGATCTATCTTTATTTTAATGACTTGCTTCTCTCGGACTTAATAACGCGATTCCGCGATATATAAGCGCGTTTAAAGATACGTTGTTCTTACCTCCCTTGACCGTGCATGCAAATCCGAGTGATCGAACGTCGTCCATATTCATCAGTCCTTTATCGTTTCGCTTAGCCTTCCTCTTCGCGTGAGACGTTCGAGAATTATATTATAAACGATGAGAGTGCCTATCTTGCAAGTTCGTTAGATCTGGCATGACATCGTCATGCTTTTGACTTCGAAATCTTCGTAAATAACGTAAGAGGACGAACGCTAGCATTACGTTGTTTAGTGCGACAAAATAATACATGAGAACGGTTGTGGAACGGAAAATACATAATGCGCGGCAGATAAGAACTTTATATTTTCACACGCCAGGGACTTTGCGGATGGAGCGCCATTTAAAGTTAAAAATACAACAAGAATTTTAAAGTGTGTGAGGTTGCTAGTTTATTGAACAGGTATTATTTTCGTCTATCGAAATCCGAAAGTTCTCGAAATGATGCTGGTTCTTTACTGATTCCTGGCACTCAACCAGGCGTATCCTTACAATGGAAATCTCATATTCTTCAAAAGTTGTTTGCGATTGGTATTAGTATGCAAAATGAAAGTCGATTATATTGAGGAGATGGTTCACAATGGAAAAACGTCGGCCGACGTTTGATTTGTATTCATCACCGTCAACCAATCCCCGGAAACTTCCCCTCCGTCAGCTGGCCAATTCGTTTCGCGTGCTATCCATCCGCGAAACTTTTAATGTTCAGGATTGCGCAAAACTTGGCCTGGCTCACCCGCGAGTGGCGACCTTTTATCGTTTCACATGCGAGGAGAAAATGGAGCGAACGGTCGATTGACCCAACCTTAAAACGTGGCTCGACATGTGGTATTGCGGTTGTTCTTCATCATATATCAAACGGAAATACTTGGTTATAATCAATCAATCAGCTATAAATGTCATCGGATTAATCAATGTTATCATTGATCAAGTAGCACACTCTTTAAATATAAATCAGTGGAAATATAAATCAGTGGATAATCACTGATATCAGTGCCAAGTATGTCACTAGTAATCAGTGAATTAAATGTGAGATCCCTAAGCTAATCTTTATTATGTGATCTAATTAACCTTGTTTAGTGCTTATATTCAATGAATATGTTATTGGAAGATTAAATATCAGTATTTTAGTTATTAATGCTCAAACAATTTTTCTTTTTGAACTTCATTGATTATCAGTGTCAAGTATGCCAGTGGATAATTAGTGATTATTCATTGATTCAGATTTATAGAGCACGAATTTTATTTTTACATGGTTATTATTGAAGCTTGATCTCGGAAAGTATATTCACGTTACAATAATTATTTCTACCTTTGATATACTTTGTTTATTTATATACATACAGATAAAAACAAAACTTCAAAAATTGATTTCTTTCCTTTGTTTCTCGGTTTTTTATTGTATTATACTTTTTATGCATTTAGATTTATTATAATAGATAATAATAGTGAAAAATTTATTTATTATTAATAACAGATTTTAATTGTTAGATGCAGGTTATTTCATTCTTTTAACAAAAATTGGGGATGTTAAGTAATTAGATACTGGAGAAGGATGATATTATTGATTTTAATAAATCAAGAAGAAATATGAGGTATCACATCCCTTGCTGCAATTTCATTATCTTATGGAATAATTAATATATTTATTCATTAAACAGAATTATACATTCTTATTCCTAATAACTTTTATACATTCTGTCTTCAGACCTAATTATTTAGATCTTAAAATAATGTGACTGGGATCTGAATAGTTGCGTTACTGCCGCTACTTGGTTGTGCAGAAGACAAAGGCTGCATTCAGAAGATAAACAATTTAATTTTACTTATTGTTAATCCACTGGTTCTTTATCTCTTGAAGTGAATATCATGTTAATAATAGTTTTTACAATTTAATCCTCTTATTGTCAATGTCTACTGGACATTTTTTATCTTTAAAAACCCATCTATAGTACTAATAATATGATGTAAATTGTAAACCATAAAAATATCACCTGAGTCATCAAGCTGAATGACACTGATAGATCGGTATATATTATATATATTATATGTACATATATTATATGTAAGCTATGGATCTAAAAGCGTGAGCTCTACATATATTATATATAATATCAGCTAATTTGATTGCTTATAATTATTTTATTTTTTTGTATTAAGTAGAGAATATTTGATTTTAGTTAATTTTCCAAACATACTGCTAAATTATTGTACAGTAATTGTAAGATCTCAAATACTCTACTTCGACGCTTGATTATCTAATATTTTATATGAAATATAGAAGCTCAAATTGATAGTCGTTCACTTATATTAGGTGTAGTAAAAAGAAATTCATTATTTTTGCATGAAATTGAATGGAAAAATAATGGATTTCTTTTTACTACACCTAATATGATTTTATTCTCGTAAGAATAGTCGTGCGACTCTCATCGAGTTATCGGATAAATAAAAAGATTTCTACCATGCTGTTTGTCCCGTTCTTTCTCTAACAAATTCGTTTTTTTTTTTTATGTTATCTTGGATTACATCACGGAGATGAAAAGATTGCATCAACGATTGGACAATAACGTCCATTACGAGATTGAATCGGATGTTTCACGATCTTTCTAGTAATAGCGAGCACACTGTCTGATGGGATGAAGTATTATTCCTTGTTTGATATTCTGAATTGGAATACATTGTCAAAGAGAAAAGTACAGATAGATATCATGCAAGTACACGAGTCCAATGTTGTACATCGGAACTATCAGCGCTCTGTCCCAGTTTCAGCTCGACAGCAATGCTACTCCACCAACAGCAATTACTGCAATGTAATACAATGGACAGACGGGTGGACGGTTTCCAAATTCCGTGTAATACCGGCTAAATTGGTTTCCGCCACCCCGAAGAAGAGGTATCGTCGATTTTATTGCTGTTCGTCTTCGCGTGCGATTGGATTATTATTTATTACCAATGTGATGCGTTGCCTTTTAGGGATGTCGCTCGATTTTTGCGATAGATAGAACCGGTTATATTGGGTTGTCCGGTTGCAACACGATTAGTTGGACTAAAGCGGGATAAAATGGACATTTACGCCACTGCCGCGTTTATCTCCAGAGAGCGCAACGTATCGTCTATTAGTTTCTCTGCAGCAAATACGCCGCAGATTTCTATTTACTTCGCGTTATTACGTTCCGTGGAGAATCCCGCGTATAACGAAAGCCGAGGCAACGAAAGAAATTGCGGTTTTTACTAATGACGGTGTTATGATAGCTTGGAGTCACTGTATAAGTTCAAGGGAACTATTGGATACGTGATACTCTTTGCACAGCAGGTATAAAACTCGAGTCTCACAAATTGTTTAAAATTTATTTTACACGATCCAATTTAATCAGTAAATTTATATGAAGGATTTTTCGTAAAAACTAAGTCCGAAAAGTTAATATTTTCAAGAAAAATTTTTCGGAAAAATTTCTCATCTTCAAACCGTTTATTGTATAAATATATTAATTTTTTTTCTGGGCATCTAAATAGAGGAACAAAATTTTAGGCTTTCATTAATATTTTGAAGATTCATCAATTAAAAAAAATATAAAATCTCTGAACTTATTTAATTCTTATATAAATTTTATATTGACCACCTATGTATTTATTCGATACTTACATTTATGTTTTTTTTACATAACATTGATAGTACATTCAATTATGTAGTTTCATTGTGCATACTTCTCAATTCATTGTCTTTTTACAATACTATTTCATTTATTTTTTTATTTCAAGTTCTTATTTGTATTTTGGATTATCTCTAAATTCATTTTAAGTCGAAGTTTAATATCGAAAAAAATGAACAATCGTCGTTTTGAAACGAGGTGCTGCGCGAACTAACATTATTTCGCGACTCATATTAAAGGGTCTTCATCGTAAAAGCGTACCATCTTTTTTCAAAAAGAGTCGCGACCGGGAACTTGTTTCCGCAATTAAATCACCGGATCACTCGATTAATGCATCACCTCGCTTTCGCTACGTGCGGACGCCTCTTTCGCATCCGCATGCACACATTCCGCGGGCATCAATCATCTGCCGCCGCGGTCTCTCGATTAATTTTCACGAACGCCCGATAACAAGCAAGGAGACTGTGAGTTTTTTAATCTACCGGGACGCGCGTTGCAGGTAAAGGCGATGGAAAAGGCCAGACTCGGCAAAAAGGCTACTCCATCATGCACTCTAGAATGCATGTTGAAATAACGCTTCACGGTATATAGCATGTACGTGCTTTACGATTATACTGTCGCCTCTCCGCTCTCATTAACATTATTATGTAGCGCAAGGCGATATCGGTGTGTTGTTTTACGATCTAAGACTATATGTATATCTAAGCCAGTGTGTGCACGCAGAGATAAAAGTATAAGAAAATTGCCCGCGGAAGAGTCATGTGTTATGTTCAAAAAAGTAATAAATACGTACTTCTTAATGTCAATAAAACAAATGCTTTTAAAATATATTTAATGTTTTTATTTCCATTTCAATTACGAATGCAGTGTATTTTATTTTCTCTGTATTTGAATAATGTAAAATGATACTCGTATTGTTAGATATTGAAAGAGGTAATCTAATTCCTTAAACAATATTTTGATATTTTAATCTTCCATGTATGTAAAAATCAATCCATTTCTGTGATTAATTTCAAAATAAATGATGTCTGTAGGTATATTGTATGCGCTTAGTAAATAATAAACTATCATTTGAATCAAATTTAATACATTTTCTTGAATGAAATTGTTTAATTCCATTATTGTTTTAATTAAATTAATGTATTGAGTAGAAACAATGGTTGCCTATAAAAATGGTTAAAAATAACTTAAGTATAATTTGGCACTATAAATTTAACAGTGCAGGAGAGATTTTTATTTAAAAAAATCTTGTTTATAGAAAATGGACAAGAAAACATAAAATTCATAATTTATTCACAATAAGTACATTCTAACTTAATAAATAAAAAAACTTTGCGAAAACCATGTTTATGGTCCTAGAAGTTAAATTCTCCATTATATTATACAAATATTATTTGTGCAATAATCCAATTTGCATTTTCACTCATTTTATTGAAATAGCATATTTCAATTTATATCTTTTTACGTAACATAAATAATTTTGAAAAATATATAATCTATTTTATTCGTCATTAGCTTTTTTTTATTCTTCGTTAATAAATTGTTAATTAATGTTTACTTTATATATATATATAGAAAATAATAATTTTTTCAAAAGATATTTTTCCTGTACAAATACTTTTTAAACTTACTGTATATTCTTCTTAATGGAGTATTTCGGATGAAAGGTAACACCCGAAATATGCTCATCGAACATATATCTCAGGTGTAACCGGCGTATTCGCACGCGGCAGCTCCCCAGTTATAGCAGCACGTAGCTAAGATACGACGATGGAGAGAACAATGGTGTATACGACGGTACGAAATTAGATTAGATAGATCTTGGTCGAGTAATGCGACTTCGCCCGCGGGAACGAGCTTGCACAAACGAACGGCACACGATCTCGTACCTAGTCGAACTAATCGCCCGGTTAAGTCGCGCTTTCGGCGCGTAATGCGCCACCACGCAAAAATGTTCCCTTGCGTTGGGGTAGCTAAATAGAACGTAAAACATAGGTATTAATTAGACCCCCGTTAAGCACTAGCGGCACGGGACGGGTAGCTTTTAGAAATCCTCGGCTTTTTGTTAAACCGACCCTAGGCGTTGCAAATATGCCCGACTAATTTCATTAATTACACGAAAAGTGGAGAAATACGAGATTTTATTCTGTAGATGTACGTCGCTGATTGCCAGCGATGTTATTACTATAAACGGTCGCAATTCATATCAATTCGATTGATGTATCCGCCGCTTTTAATAACGGCAACAAAAATGGAACTTTATCAAAATATTAAGGTATTTTTTTTCTCTCATTTTAATAAAAATATTGTACACGTTATTTTTATATTAATGGAACACTACCGCGTGATTGAAAATATCATCGAGAGAACTCTACTTGTTAGAGGAAAAATTCCCAGTTCTTCAACTCTTTAAATTTTTCGCGCCATGAAACTCGCAATTGTCTTAATATAAGCGTGAGACTCCTGCAGGCAAATTTCATAAAACGCTCGCCGCACCGCTCGTGAAAGACAGATAATCTTAGCTCGTCATAAGGGAATAATCCCGATAAAACTTTCTCCCAGCAAGAGATGAGCGGCCTTTAAGCGGCCTTCTCGTTGCACCGGCGCCGTTAACCCGGAAGCATTTTTCACTATCATCATAAAATATTACTCCGTCGAGCGTTCCACCCGGTACTTCAAGGGGAAAACCGTCCTCGCGACGTCCATTGGGACTTACGCGCGGCAGAAAATAAATTCATCGTTATCCCGGACAAAGAATTCTTATTTTGTGACGTTGCGCCGCAATCGGCAAAATGGCGCGGCGGCGAAAATCGTGTCGTCGATAATATCGTAAATAATTTTACCTAACTGCAGTCGTTGATTTCCAATAACGAATTTCCCGTTGCCGACACGCGCGCGAGCGTGGGCGTGCATTCCTATCAGGCCGAGGGTAGACACGGCCCAGAGGGTGAGGAACGAAAACGAAAAGCAATTATTTAAATGCGTTCTATAGCATCAGAGCTCTGTACATTCGCATTCGCGTTCGCGGCTCGATCGAACGGCATTTCCCGCAATTCCCCTTTTTTTCCTGTCCATCGCCGCGCTTCCGCTCGCCTTCTGTACGTCTTTTCTATCAATCCCCCTTTTTTCCTCCTACTTCCCATTTCATGATAAAAAGAATGTGCTGAAGGCCGCCACGTTTGAAATTGTCGATGAAATCTACGGGAAAAAGGCGCAATTAATCGAGCCTCGAAACGGCGCGAATTCGATTAGAGCAACGGAAATTAGATTTGAAGATCTCATACTCTTCGGCGTGAATTGTTTCGGCGCTTTCGTTTCACCGTGGCTCAAGCGGCCCGATATAACGCAACGCGTTTAACACGCGATCGGCGTTAGCCGACGAAAACGTGAACTAGTTTGTTTTAATGACGATGCCCGGTACCGTATCAGTTGCACGAGTTCGGATTCACGCCATACTAATCATAACGGGGCCGCAAAGCGAGAATTACGAGTTCTTTGGCACCGCCTTGTCGGCGCGGCGGATCGGAGCTCCGAGCGGAACGACAACGGCTTCCTCGTAATTCGATTAGCAGAGCTCGCGGTGTAATATAAAATCTGGGCCGTCAGCGACACTGCCGTCATCGGAAGCCGTAAGACTAATAAAAAAAAGATCACTCTGGCTTTATACAACATGGTTGTGCGCTAAAGGGCTTCTTTTTTTTGTTTGGCGGTGTCGCTTTGTTGAAGCGTCACGCTTTGCGTCTCGTGGAGGTTTTTTGCACGAGACTTACCTTCGCTAGGTAAACTTCTGTGTATCACTCTTGTGGTTATCAAAAACATCTCTCTATATCTCTATATCTCTAATATATTTTCATTATTAATATAATATTAATTTATAATATAATATTAATTGTCTTTTTCGAAATAAATAATATAAATAATATTTGTATAGCATCTAGGAATATTATATGCTTATGAGACATGTCTCAAAAAAAAAAACGTTATCAAAATTCAAGACAAAATTTTAGCCGAGATTTTGTCCATTTGCCGGAAATTCGTTAACAAAAAGCCAGAATTGGAATTTCCGGCTAAAAACTGAAGAAGAAACCCATCATATTATGAAAGGGTTAATTATTTTACAAACAGTATTTTGTCAAAATTGGGAGATCTAGCGCTCGAACTGCCGTCTTCTCTTGTGAAAGTTTTCCACAGAGTAGTACACCAGAAGAATTTCGCCCCTTGTCAGTTACTTCGCGTCCACAAATTTTTGCTCAATCGAGTTTCCGAGCGGAGTTCGTGCCCATGATGAAAGGGATTCCGTGGAACGTAAAATGAAGCTCGATATCGTGGCAGTACCGTTGAAAGAGACGGGGAGTACTCGGCGCACGGCAAAATCTGAACGCTATAATTTCGTCGAGCTCGTTCCATCGGACCGATCTTTGTCTCGGTAAATGGAGGGCCTTCCGTTCGTTGCAATTCGAGGGTTGTATCGCTTCCCTCGTCCTCCACCCGCGGGATTTTATCGAGGGAGGGTCTCGCGCAAAGTGCCACCGTTTTACTATCCTGCCGCAGCACGGAACGCCGCTCGATCCCGTTATTTATTAATCATTGAATGGTCTGCTTAATCTCTGCACTATTCGTATTACAGGTCTCATCAGCACCAGTGGTAGGAAGCTCGATCGTGAGAATCAAGCGGAGCACGTGTTGGAGGTAAGTCAAATAATTGAACTTTTTTTTTCGAAGGGATCACAGTATCTTTGCGCACAGAAAAAGAAACTTTCGAGAAAATGTTTACTGTTAATTGAAAAATTATTTTATTGTATAAAAAAAATATTTGTGTACTAAAAGTATATATAAAAAATGTTTTATATATGTAATCTTTAGATATTTGGTGAGAAAACGATACATAAAAAATTACAAAAGTTGTTTTATTAAAAGTTATAAATAACTAGTTTAAAAATGTTTTTAAAATTATTAAAAGAAAAATGTTGTTCTTTTAATAACTTTGAACTAGAAGGTCTCTAGATTTTTTCTACTGAGAATGATGTGAAGTTTTTTAAGCTCTTCCATAACAATATAATTCTGAATAAATTCGAAGCGTGAATAAACTTCGAGGAAACAAATTCCGAGCGCATCATGTCTTCGCAGTTAACGATGCTTAGACGATCTAATCAGTTTCAAAATCGTTAGAGCGAATAGTGTTCCCTAATGACGCGCTATTGTTAACAACTAATTGATGGATTGACGCATCCTTTCTCGTTTCGCTTCATTCGTTCGTTTCTCAACAATACTATCGATATAAAGTTTCTGGAAACTGTCGCTTTTGCTTTCTCTACTTCGTCTGCTCATCGGCGCTCGATATATTGTCGAAGTGGAAATGAGGAAGAAAATCGCATCCTCCGTGAGATTGAAAAGTAAAATGAGGAAAATCTGCTATCTGTGATGATAAAAGCGAGAAGGCTAACTTGAGGATAGCACTATGAGAAAAGGGGTAATATGAACGAGTGGGGAGAGGGCGGGAGACAAGAGACCAAGAAACGAATGGACGACTTGGGACAACGACGGAAAGAAAGAGGGGTAAAAGTGGCAGAAGAAGGAAAGGGAAACTTCGGATAGAACAACGCTGAAAAGGGTACAATGGTTCTAAGAAGAAGAGTCGTAGGGTGAGACATCGGGGAGGCAAGACATTTCTCTGGGGAAGGTCGGCGCAGCCTCCCGGGGAATTTCTACCTACATTGGGATTAAAGGAAGAACTCGCGATAGTCTCACGTCGTGTACGAACGGTAGACACAGAAATTTCGCCGAGGCGATAAAAGTAGGGAAAGAGACGATACCAATTTCACCAAAAGACTTCTATACTACGATTGATAGGATAAACGGCCTAACTTTATCCTCAATGTTTTCCTTCCTCTACATCCACGAAGCATCCCATTTTGAGAATTTCTTTAGCTGATAGACTCTCAGCTCTTTTCCCCAAAGTGCCGGAACTGTTAAGATGTTTCAAAGCGTTTTATTGATTAAGTGTAAAATATTAGTTTAAATAGGTGTCCGAAAAGTATATTTTGTTAATAAATACACGGAAAGAACTGACTTTGCTGAAATAGCTAAAGATTTAATTAGATACAGATCTGAAAATAATTTTGTTAGGCTATTGAAATAATTATATTCTCTCTAGGACACTCAAGCATAAGAAAAAGAGAAAAAAAATTTTGATATTTTAGCAACAAGCTTGAGTGTCCTACATAATTGTTTTATAAAATATTTTGTATTATAAAATATTCGTAGAAACGTACTTCAGACCACTTACGGTATAAATACTGTAAATGGTTGATGCCTAGACCTAATGCTTTTGGGTCGCATTATAGGTCAGATCGCGTATAGGTCTCTCAGTGTAAATGTAGTGTAAATGTTATAATACAAAGGAGTCAAATAAAAAAAAAATAAAACTTGTTTATCTCTCTATCGATCACTTTTCCGAGCATGTATCTGTTTCTTATATTATTAGATTTGTTCACGTTGTTTGAAATTCTCAAAGTATCTGCTCTTACCAGAGCAGATACTTGAATATTTTTCTTTTTAATTATAGATAAAAAAGTATTTGGGTGTTGGAAGAGAGTAAAAATGAAAAAAGGACAAGCAATGCGAAGAGTTCTTTTATAATGTATAAAAAATCTTATGCACATACTCTTTTATGAATCTAAAAAAATTAAACGTGTTTTAGACAAATATTAGCTCGAACACTTTACCAACTTTAACAAATAGTTTAACACAAATCATTTTCAAATCTGTATTTAACTACATTTTTAGAGAGAGAGAGACACTTTAACAAAAAATTGTTAGTTTTTTTTTTAATGTAAGAATGACTATGACGGCTGTTCTTATGTTTAAAACTGTCTTCAATTTTAAGTTGTCATAAATTAATCGTACAACATCTTAAGATCTTATTATTTATTTTTAAATTAAGAACTGATTATACATGAATACAATCGACTTATAAGCAGAGGATTGCTTATGATGTCATAAATTCAAAAAATTCAGATTTGATCTTTTCCCACTAATTTAAATTCTTTTTCGTGAAATAGCGTAATGATTAATAATAAGTGCTTATGCTGTCGATAAAATTTCATTCATAGGACTCACAATACGGCAGATAGTCATAATATTCGTGAAATTATGTAATTCCGCAAGTTCCGAACATATGCGAAATAGTTTCTAGATTTTATTTTTATATGGATTTTTAAAACGCGTTCGAAAATTTCTGAATTATTCACGACAGTTAAAGTGGTTCTGATACTATAAAATCGCATCAGGTAATGTCGGGGAAAAAAAAACATATGCGGAACATTACGGCAGTAAAGTATTTCGTGATTAACACAAGCATATGCTCGTCCCAAATTAAATTGCACGTTATTGGTTTTAATGGCCGTACTCTCGTTCATTCGCATGTCGCGCACAGTTTAAATTTTCGATGCAACCCACCGACTGATCTAATTAAGTGCACTCTGTAACAGAATAGGATATTGAAAATCAAATTGTATCAGCGCTTTTCATTTTAAACCGTACATCAATATTTGTTACTAATATGACTAAGGATTATTTGACGAAGGACTATTGACAAAGTTCAATGCTATTTATTTCGAGACAAATATTTAAAATTTATATCACATAAATAATATTATCTGTAAGATACACAACGAGTACATCCCCTAAGTATTTAAATCCATCTCGTGTGGGTCTAATTTCATTAGATATCATTACGGAAATTCTCTGACGGATCCGTAACGCGACCAGGAAATTATTTTAAGAGTCTTTGATCTTTCGATGCGGGTTGTTAACAACATGTTTGTGTTCGTAACCGAGTTAAATGAGTCTCGGCTCTAAAAACAAGAGTTCGTGAAAACGATCGCTTCCCCTGTGACCCTCCCCGTACCACCTTCTTGCAGAGAAACTTCGACAATTTTGCAAAGTCTCTCCGCCACGAATAATTAATGAGTGTACGGAGCTTTCTCTTTTAGCGCTTTCTTTTAACGCAAGCTTCGATTACCTTTTCATTATCAATTACGCGGATTAAATCATTCATTCGGTACATTACGCTCTTTAAGTAAAAGAAGTGAAATTTTTAACATCGACAAATATATTTTCATATAAGTATAATATATAAAGTATCTCCAGATATATTTTCAATAATCATAATCATGTGAAAATACAAAAAATATTCACATTACAGAGATCGGTGGAAAAATTAACAGAGCTTGCTGAGATTTAAACTCGGAATTCTTTGTTCTCAAATCTAGCATTATTATTAGTGTGCTACTCTAATGATACTACACTATTATTTCATCTATATATATCTTTAAATGATCTTATGGTTGTTTTTATTGTTCTGCAATATAAAATTTTTTTATATTGCAAAAAAGTTTTTATAAAAAATAAATATTAATTAGCAATTTAACTATGAGTTTCGTCCTAATATAAACAAAAAATTTCGCGGAAATAACTATGTAAGAGCATGTAAATACATGCTCTTGGAAGCTAAAGAATCTTATATTAATTATGGAAAAAATAGCTTCAGTCAAACTGGCTAAAATTGTGATATTTTATAGCTTATGAAATGCTGATCAAAAATTTTCATAAAAAAGGAACAACCATAAAAAATGATCATAAAAATATAGATTTTGTTCATCCTGCTTATCATTTTTTATGATTCATGATGGAGACTTTTGATCAGCATCTCATAAGTTAATCGCACTTTCAGCCAATTTAACTGTTTTTTATTTACTTACCTAATAAGTGCGAGTCTTGACTATATAAATACTTTTAATACGTTTAAAGAGTAATTTTCATTTCCGCCTTATTAAGATAATATATTTTGATTAGAGAAGTATATATAATCTACCTATTTTATTCTAAGTTAAATTGCTAATTAATATTTACTTTCTCAAATTAAGATTCTTTTTAAGATATCTCTCCTGTACTAATATTTTTTAGCACTCACTGTAAGAGACAAAATTTATATGTGTCACGCAAAAGTAATCATAAGTCAATTAAACTTTATTTTTTCATTAGTATTCTATATTGAGCTTCTGCAAACGATGAAAAAGAACAATATACGCATTCAATTATGTTCTTCTGTATTAATTATAAAAATCCATTTTATTTTCGGATAGCACAATCCGTTTTATTATAACTATGCCGAACATTGGCGAATATTGATATTGGACGAAACAGCGATATTGGCAGCATACTCATCTAAACGAAGTGCATATTCTATAGTTTTCGCGCGGATCGTTAAATCTTCTTTTTATGACGCTTTCGCTCTCCAAACTCGTTTATCTGTCATCGATATACCGCTTACAGTGTACAGCCCGATGTCAAAGGGCGAGGCGGCTGGCTGGTATTTTGGCATGAAAGGTCAACCGAGGTTGCACGACCTGGTGACCGGAGCGACCATGTCCCCCTTTTTCATAATTCCACGCATAATTTACGAGTATTCCTGTGGGCTCTGCTATAAAGAAGAAACTATTTCTCCACCGACCACGCGTATCTCGCGCCACCAGGCGCGCTTTTTTGCATACTGTAATACGGAAAGCGCTCGATGAATCTAAAATATTGACAATACCGTCTCACTTTCGACGACGCGGGTGCAATGACAGCAGATCACACTACGTCCTTTTGTTGTTCGATATGCATCGACCCAAGCGATTGAGTGA